AAACTGAAGGCATGGGAAGACCACGCATTTACAGCAAATCACTTGCCCTTCCATTTCTTATGTGTTTTATCATGATTACTGCCTGCTTTTTGTTATCTGTGCTACACATTACAACCATATCGCTGTTAGAATTTTGAAATGTTTTGGAACATGTACGTAGTTGAATGCTGCTTATGTTAGCACATTTCATAAGAGATAGCTATGATTTACCATAGTAATCTTCATGGAAAAAAACAGGCTATTGCTAACGCAGTTGGTGGTCAATGAACTTTATAAAAAGGTTTCCCGAGTCAATACTGCTTATCTTAGTAGACAAGTCTGGAACCTGCTTAGTACCATTTCACCGATACCGGAAGGATAAATTGTTTGGTGAGCCATGAGGGCGAGATCGAACTTTCGACCATGCACGCGACACAGCTCCCCTCTAACCACTGAGTTACGTGCGCTCTTGTAAATCAGTCAATGGGAGGAAATAGCACTCACAGCGAGACGCCTTACGTGCTATTCACTCCGTATATGACATCGTCTGAGTAGAAACTGCAGTGAAAAATCTTTATGTGTAAAACAAACCGCTGAAGAGCGAATGCATAGTGTACGATGCCCTCAGGCCACTTCACTTCAACACGTCTGGTAGCGCAGCATCATATCATGGATCATACATTTGGGGCAATAGATGCTGAACAGCACGATGAGTAGTAGTTTGAGGCCTCATTATTACTGCAAAATGCTTTCTCATTTAAATGGCCGATATAATAATTTTCTTCGCTGTAGTCTTCAGATTGTAATTTTGTAACATTCACTAAAGCTTCTTTTATCACTGTCATATCAGTTGTAATTATGTTATATTATACAATCTAGAATATTGAGTTGTATGTAAAAGTCTAGAGATAAGACGAGCGTTCAATTCGAGTCTAACCTCTGGAAGGGTTAATCCTATCGGACGGCACAGAAATCGATTCGCACAGAGCGATTTGAGCAATTTTCGCTGTTTCATTAAAATTTTTCTTCGTTCAGCAAAAGTTTTCCAAATCTTTGTAATAGTTTGATAGAACAAGATCTCCTCTATTCGCTCATATGCTTATGGTTTATTTATATGTGTCTTCTGTAAAGGAATAGTGAATACCTCGCAATTTTACTGAATATGGCATTCAGTCAATTGTATTGCATTGTACAGAGGCGTTCAAAAAGAAATTCTTAGTTTTGTTCTTCCCTATCTTCATACAAGACTCAAAAGCACCATCACCTGTATCACCTGTCGCCGCGTTGATCGTCGAGTGACTCGAGCGGGCACCAGCGACACTTCCATTTTTTCCTATAGCGTGCAAGAGTAGCCCAGTGGGTCCTCCTCGCTCTATTTATTCGCTGAGCATCATATCCTTCTTCTTGGGCGTCCACACTCGGTACAGATAATTGCATGTAGGACAGATATACAGTGAAGACACAGTAAGCCACCCAACCCTATTGGAAGGTTTGCTCAACATAAATTTTGCTGAACCCGTAGTACTGGACTCACTGCTGGGCCAACACCATGAATTTCGCAGTATATGCAGAACCACTAACGACACACACTGCCAGTGAAATAGCAGCCAAGTATTACCGTGGGACCCACAGCAGACGACTACAACAGCAGTTTAAATGGAGCTGACTTCTGGCGCTCTCCTTTGCTGTCTTGCGTCGTTTTACCACACGGTTTCATTTACTTTACAACGTGTACATTTTATGCGCTTTGAGTTAAGTTGCACGTTTTTATCACGGAATAATTCCTCTCGGATTGTTCCCATTCTTCATCACCTTGTGGGATCCTGCCATGAGGACCTGGATATATATATATATATATATATATATATATATATATACATACATATATACATAGATCAAACAAAAGCTAAAATTCGACTATTTGGAGCCCTCGCTCAAGCAGTATAATCTCATAACATATTTCGGACCTTCCATAAGGTGTGTTTTGGCGGCCATAAAGTGTTAGGCATATGCTTCGGCCTTCTATCCTCAGCAGTAACACAATGCCCTTCTTTCAGTCAGTTGCTCGAAGACATGGCACCTGTTAGACGGCAAAAAATAAAGAAACAGCCTCTTTGGACAAGATTTTCCATGAGAATGTTAACTTCTAATGGGCAGCTATAGAAGTCGATGCGCGCAGAGCGAATTACGAAATATTCGTTATTTCATTAAGGCTCTTTTCTCTGCTTGGCAAAATTTTTGGTATTGTTGTATTAATGTCATAGTACAAAATTTTTTTCATGCGCTTACTTGCTTTTGGATCTGGTAGCGGGAAAGCACAACCGTGTTATAAGTGTCTTCCGTCGTGAAATGCGCTGGTATATAACGCAGTCTTAATGTATTTGGCATTCACTCAATTGTTTTGCATTATACACAGGAGATCGCAAAGCAGATCCTTAGTTTTGCTCTTCCCTAATTTTACAGAGGATTCAGAAGTCACTATAGTAAATAAAAATTGGTAAACAGCTAGGAATTTATCAGAAATGATTGTGTATGCTGTACACGATACCTGCTCATCGAAAACTCTTACTTTAGCTATGTTTGTATCAATCATCTTTATTTCCATTTATTCAGAGCTGACGTACGTGAGAAAAGGTTGAGTACTCGTGAACAGCGTAACAATTCCGAGCAGGAAGAGACAACCGTGTTTGAATAGTAGAGTGAGAGTATCGGCGTTATGCAAACTTATTGTTAAAAAAAATGTGTCGTCAGAGTATTCTCGGTTCTTTTCTTCTGTCCGCACCCATATTCAAAAAAGGTGTTTTTTATCCTTTTTCAAAATTTCAGTAATTATTCTACATCTCGAAAATCGAGAATCTGAAGGGTGTCTCTAATTTTTCAGAATCTTTTTATTTTATGCTGTGGTGTAGTAGAGTTTCCTTTTATATTGAAGCATTTTCGCTGAAAAGAGACTATCATTCAAAATTTCAATGGTCACTCGATAGTACAAATTTCAGCAATCATAATAATATGCTTGATTTTTATAAAGGACGTCTTGATGCGCTGCAACAGGTAGAAGACTACTGAGTTTCACACTCGGTGCCGAGTTGATCGCGCAGTTCAGTTTTCACGTGGTGTGCTGTAAGTGCCGAATGTAAAATCCCATAATTTTCATCTAGTGTGCGACGCACTAAGCAGTCCTTCTCAAAAATAGGCAAATTCTTGAAATTGTCAAGATTTGCGCTGTTGAGTGGGTGTGAAAGCCTGAGAGAAAAGTCTTGTCCAGCGAAAAATACTCAGATGTGCAACACAGCTTTATTCTCGCTGTTGCAGCTCAAGACGTTCACGGACTGTCCGGTCTAGGCGTTTATTACGGGATCACGTAAGGCACTCTTTCAAATACGGTGTATCATAGACATAGAATTATTATGAGGTACTGTATACCATCATATCTATAGTGGGTGCAGTTTCATGCGTATCTGAGTCAAATGTGCTCGTAATTCTGCCTCCTCACATTTTATCACTTATCGACTACTCCATCATTGATGTCTCCACTTACCTCAAAAAATTTTGTTACTCTCGCCTTTGTTTTTCTTCATTTTTTGGTTTAAAATGATCAGTAGAGTTCTACATATGTAAACATTTGACCGTGAAGGTTTCTTTGAATATGTTTTCCGCAGAGGACAAGGGTGAAAGTTTTTGTGTCCCAGTTACGTGCATGATAACTCGTTCAACTTGACGTGCATTGTAACCTTGAAGGTTATGTGCTATAGTCCCGAACTAATCGCTCTACGATATTCTTCTCAAGATATTTCGAACAGTTAGACATAATATATATGAAGGTCATGGTCTCAAAGACTCATTAGCATGCCATACCACAGTTAAGCATAGAGCAAGTGTTTTATGTCGAGGCGATGAGGATGCTCACCGACGTCCAAAAGGTTTCTCCGGCTTTAGTCATGTATGGTTGTTTTTTCTGAGTACTTTTGTCTATTTTCTAGCTAAATCTATTTTTTATTACCTTTTTGTAAATTCATATGTGCACAAAACAATGTTAGCTAAAACGAGATTGTGTATGAAAGACAAGACAAACATACAAATGAAATTTGAGAAGAAAACTTGATTTTACTAGTGAGAATAGTTAATTAAACATGTACAGATGGGGAAATGATGAGGTTCGATTGTAATTATTCCTCCACATATTGACATTGAGATCTATCAGCGTGTTGATGTAATATAACAATGTGTATTGAGAATTGATTAACAAATATGCACCACCAAACAAGAAGAAAATCCTGTCATTTGTCTGAAATATGGTTTGAGCTTTGCTGGATGCAGAAAATTGCTTGCACATACTGAGCAATAGAAATTTATCCGGAGAGATCACTTTTCAGCAGTTTTTGACCGAAGTTTGTAGTTAGATGCGCTGCTTCAACCTGTCAAATAAAACGATGCAATTTACTTATCTCACTACCTAGATGTAATCAATTCTTGCATATGTCATTCCTTCACAATGCTCAACATGAATTCTCTGTGCGCTTTTACACGTTTCAGCCAAGATGCGATTATTTTTAGATAGATCTTGATGCCATTATTTAAAAATGACCTGCCTAAAAAATCAACACCAGCGTAGTACCTACTTGTGGATTCCTCAAGTAGATACATCGGTAATCCATTGCAAAACGTCCAACCCTCTAGTCCGGCAACATGAATGCCAATCGCTTGTGATAACGCTTCGGGTATGATGGAAAAGTGCTGCCGAGTTTCATCCTAAATATGAAATTCATGACAACATATGACAGCGAACTGGAATTGAGTCAAAATGAAATAAAACCATTGTGAAAATGCTCATTTCTAAGCGTTTTCTTTATCCTTGAACAAAGTCAAAACTTGACCATGAATTGTTATTGTACTAAGGTACTTCACAATGAATTATACGCATGCATGTATGATATACTCTCGGTTAAGGACCTTGGTTTAGCCTAAAGTCGACTAAAGTATAAAATGGATACAAGCAAATTTTACGTAATTATGTGTTATGGGCGTCAGTAGTGTAACGGTTTAGAGCACGTGCTCCCGGACAGAGTAAGGTGTGGGTTCTAGTCCCGCTTGACGCGAAAGTTTTGCATATCATTACTGCATTACCGGGTATATCTATAAAATTTTACCACCGTTAAAGCGATCAAATAGAAATAATTTTTTTACATTTGTAATCATTTGTCTCGCTCAGATGACTTGATTTTTTGATAAATCTAAGTGATTAAGAACAAACTTTGCAATGTTTTATATTACAAGATATAGTCCTTATTTGTTCCAGTTCAGTACGAGAAGACATATAACGCGGTAATAGTGCGCTCTCGGTGCGAAAAACCAAAAATATGGGTTTTTGAAGTATTCTTCAAGAACTATGAGTGGTTTGAAATACTGAAATACGTTCACACGTATTGTACCATTATTACTGACTTCTAGTAAACGCCAGTGAACCTTCGACTTTACCCTCGCAAATGGAACATAGCCCAGTGGGCTCTGCTCGCTTTTGGGACCTACTAAAGGTCATATCAGTCCACAAGAATCATTATAGAGAGTTTTAATGAATGGGACGGTGGTCTGTGTGCTATGCGTTTGATATCCCAACGAATCTATTCGTTAATTACGCTTCTTATCGGTTGTCGTCTAACGATAAGTCGAAATGTCAGATCTCTTCTCTTATGTGTGAGGTACAGAATACTCGTAATATCGTCATTTCGACATCGCCTTCAATAATTCTGCCCTTTCGTCTTACTGACGTGGTTGATAGTTTTATGCATATGTTGAGGTAGGATGAACTGTTAAGTAAAAGGGTGGGCATGAGTCAAGTGCTCCTTGTGCTCTTCACTAAATACTTGATGCTCGAGACAGTTGTGTAAGTCGGTCGATTCTTCCTTCTAAACTCTGGAGCTATGTCGTTCATCATATTAACGACTGATGCCTCCCTAGTGCACAGTACCACTGAAGAAAAAAATGCTCCTAACTTTTCAAGTAATAGCAAGTTGTTTAAACTTCACAGCGGGTTCTTGGTAGGCCATGCATCCTGACAATCTGCATATTTCATTGGGAAAACGACGTCCTTTGCAAATGATCATATTTTCAGTTCTTTTGCGCATTCTTCTCGCCTATTCTATTCAACTGAGACGACTGAAACAACTCATTGTTAGCGTGATTTCCTTAAGTATGCCTGTTCTTCAATGGACTCCCATATATGGGGCATGGTTGTTCGTAGATGTCGATGGTTTCTTGCACCTGAGTTTTAATTTCCTTGAAAACCTCTCATCGTGATAAAATTATAAAGCAGATTCTGAGCCACGAAACAATCGATGTCCCTTCACTTTATCTCACCAATGTTTTCTTGATGTGTCTGAGTATAATGGAGTACAATAATGGCTAGAGTTGGAAAGTTTCCTCTTATTTGAAGCTGAGGAAGGTCAAGGCGACCCGCAAATCCCTCAATCGACCAGTTTCGAAGACACACCTCTGAGGACAGCGAATGTAATTAGCAAACAAAAAATATGCACTACACAATAGTTTTCACAAAAGCACCTGTAGATTCTCATACAGAGTTATTTCGTAATGCAAGAGTATATGCACGTAAGCCTCTTCGTATATACGAATTATTAATAATTCCTAGATTTCAACAAAATATGTGTATCCAAGAGATAAATTTGAATAGGATACCCGTAGGAGGCAGGTGGTCGAACCTGGTGTGTGGTTTCGTGGCTAACGATCACCAACATTTGTACGTAGTCGCGTTGAAGCTTTCCAAAAATTTTCATAAGACGAAGGAAAAACCCTAATTAACAACGAAAATTGCGCGCCGTTGCGCAATTTGCGCTGAGTGCATCGAATTCATAGGCGTCCCGAACGGGTTAACAACTCTGATTTAGATAGATGGAATTGGAGTTATCGGAGATAGTCATTCTGTCAAGCGTGAATGTAGCATACAAAATCAATCCGTTTCTTATGACGATCGCTACTGTGGTATTTCGCACATGACCATTTTTCCAGAAGCGTTGACAAAGATGGTTAACATTTATACCGTCTGGCTGTGTTTGCTATTATAAGAACAATGTTATCAATAAAGCAAAGGCGTAGTGATTGATCATCAATCTTCACTCTCATGTTTTCCCATTCTAATGCTCGCATGACGTTCTAAAGGTTAGCAGTATATGATTTTGGCACGATAATAGCGCCTTGTTCAAGCTTCTTACTTTTGTGATGGAAATTCCCTAGAATAGTCATATTTTGGATGAATCTTTGTATAGCTTACGAAGAATCTTCATGCATTGTAGAGATGCTCTGGCTCAGAGCTTCTATGGTTGTTTTCGTCTCAACTGAGACAAAGGCTTTCTTCATATCGCTGACATTGAGAGAGGTTGGTTTCCTGTAATCTCATGATATTTCAGTGGGTCTCGTTATCGTGGCACATTAAGCTGACCTCTCTAATGAATGCCCGTAGTTCATTATTCCATCAAATCCGTTCAATAAAGAGTTTATGAGGGACAGATAACAAGCAGACTGTGCGATAATTGCAGATGTCAGAAAGGTCTGCTTTACTGAACGATAACGTAATGTTGCTTGTCTTCCACTGGGTAGAATATTACCTTCTCAAAGGTGTGTTGATGGAAACTATCGGAAAGTTCTTCAAGTGTTTGAGTATTATCCTCTTCGGACTAAATGCTGTTTAGTTGTTCACCAACGAGACATATGTCAAGTTTCGAAAGGGGGAGCTGCTGAGTGGACAAATCTGTGCTCATCTATATCTATAGTGTTTTATTCCTTAATTTCCTAATTTTCGAAAAGAGAATTTTGAGCGGCCTGCATTACCAGATTGAGCAAAAAGTTCTGGAAATTTTTTCGAAAGTTTCATTTTTTGAGATCCTTGTACCGTTTTCTATTGACAGTCGATATATTGCATTGACAACGAGCATATTAGATACTGATAGCGATAAAAATACGGCCAAAAACCAGGAACAAGTTTGAAGTGTTGGACTCCGCCGAAGTTCTTCCGCAACCCGCCTACAGTCCAAACGTTTCTTCATCCGATAATGGCCTATTTCGATTAATAACAATACTTTTTAAATGGCAGTAGATTTGAATCATTCGATGAAATTGAAGAAGCTTGTCAAAAGTTCCGCGATTCAAAGAAACCGGAATGGTATTTCGAGCAGATCCGGAGTCCGACAGAACAATGGCAGAAAATAGTCGACGATGGTCTCTATACTTTGAAAGATAGTTGATGTTTTCTTTGTAATTAAATCTGAGCATGAGAACAAAACTTCCAAGAAATTATCAGAGCTTTTTACTCAATAGTAATATTTTTGATGGGTAACATTTCAAGCAATTATAATTTGCCATAAAAATACAAACACTATCGTCAGGTTAATATAATAAGCACCTATGATTAGAACAGGGTTATTGCAATTTGTAAAAGAGCGCTGATAGGAGGAAACATCCAAAATGCATATGAGATACTGGGCATGATAAGATTTTGAACCAGCCAAAAACGAATGTGATCATTTCTGGTGTAATAGGCATTGTTCGCTGATGAGCTCCATTCTAATCAAACGACGACTCATTTATCACAAATACTGGATATTGTTTTTGAGTCGTACTTAAGTATTCGCTTAATTAATCATTAAACGTCTTGGAGGATTCCGGGGTAAAACATCAGGCAGTACACTTCCCTCCAATCAAAAATGTTCGCCGACTGTTTGTGTATTGTGTGAAGACGCCTTAGCATTGCTATTTAATGTTTTGATGGAAAATTGCTTTCATTGGTATTCAAACCGTCATGCATCGCCAAGTTCAAATTTTCCTTTACAAATCGCTCATATCTTTCCTTCGAAGTTGTATGTGTTTCGGGCTCCATTCAAATACAGTGTGGTCCTTTTTCTATGATCTACCGATGAATTCCTCTTTTCTTGGTATTTACAATCATCCTTTGTTACTGGCTTTTTGGAAAATCACACTAATAATTATTTTTTGATGTGGCAGGAGAAGGATTAAGTTGTAAACTTTCATTTTGAAAGCTTTTCATCTAGGTCAATATTATTCCCCTCTTTTCTTTTCTGCATAGATGAGTTTACGCAACACATAGGACTTGAATACTTTCTAGAGAGCTCAGTAGTTTGCCAAAATACACGGAAAATTGCGGATCGTTATCACAAAATTTAGCAAAAGCTAGCATTAAATACGTATTCTCTGTCAAAATTGTGTCATACGAAACAAATGCAACCTGTTCAAAAGTGTTGCTGTTTAGAAAACAACCGTCAATAGCGGAGAATAAGTTTCTCTTTTGGCAGTGAATCTCACCTTCTAACTATTTTATATCAGTTGTAAAGATTACTGAGGGTCGATCGAATCAAAGTCAATATGCTAAGTTATCTTAACCCAAAATAGGAGTAATTCGCGACTCAGACAATCTCACAAGAGCTTAAATCTTTCCTTGAAGGTGAGGGTCGTTTTTGAAGCTCAGTTTTCCCTATCTTTTTCGCTGGATAAAGCCTTCCTGTCAAAATTCTACTACTAATCGAAAGCTGTTTTTTCGGCAATTTAAAAACTGTGCTTGTTCTTTGAAAAAACCTTCATATCACCTCGCACCACTTTAAGGTAAGATATCTTACACAAGTTTTTCATTTACACGGCTAGAATCTGTGGATGACTATTAGTACTTATTCGATGACACTATTCTCAACGAATTCCGAAACTAAATCTGGCTTTTGAAAAGATTTTTCATCGCGTAGTAGGAGCACAAATAAAATTACGTTTCAAACTTTGAGTTTTCTGACAGTTTCACATGCACAAAAAGTATATGAATGTGTAGAGAAGATTATAGAGTATCAGAAAAATGCAAGAGACCTGAGTATTTCGTAATTGAGAAAAAAGGCCTCGCTAAATAATGAAAATCGCGTACCGCTTGCGAAATTTGGCCAACAGCCGTGCGGAAATGTTTGAAAATACTCTTTACAAGCACTTAGTTGGACTATGTAAAGACTACTTATCACGTGAAGTCAATAATAGTTGACTGATCATATGATCATTTGATAGGTAATCATAGATAAAATAAGATTGAGAGAAACCT